TTGGAATATAGTCTTGTTTGTGGACAGCTGGATAGCGTTAAAGATCATGATGTATGGGGAAGTTGACCATAGCAGGAGAGTATTGCAAAGTTCATGTGGAAATTTTGTACAGTAAACGATATTTGGATTTATGAAGTAAGGTAGATGTTGTGCAAGGTAAATTCTGCGAATTATTTAATAATGGTCTGGGACTCAGGTGATTAGTAGTTGAACAGTCATATTTTTATGAAATTGGAGGTGAGGTGGGAGCAGGTGTCAATAGATTGGTTTGCAAATCATTTGAACATGAAAAAAAAGTATTTTAACAGTTATTATTTTTGTTCTGGTTTTGAAGCAGTTGATTGTTTTACCCAGGATTGTGCAGTGGAGGAGAATTAGCTTGCCCTTCTTTTGGTGTGATATATCACGTATTGATGCATAGTCAGAATGCAAAGCTTCAGTCTTATTGATTCTTTTAGCTTAGGTTTCGGCCCAATATTCTTTAAGACATCAAAGGAAATAATAGAATTGCCCAGTGGCAGAAGTGATTGTTCTGGGTCTGTCAAAACAAAGAGAACCATGCAGGAACCCGGCTTGAAGGCTGTTGACAGCAAAAATAAGATGGTGAAATTTTTGTTGAGGCAGGCTGATACTTTGGTGTTTAGAGCGATTAATGTGGGATATAGTAAGAGGCTTGAGAGGATACAGCTGCTTTTTGAGAGCTTTTGTGGCTGAACATGGAAAATAGCATGTCCAGTGGGGGTGGATGTTATTAAGCATTTTTGGGCTAGTTAGAGTTGGCAGATATATCAGCAAAAGTGCAGGAGTTTCTAGGAGCAATAAGTTGTATGTATAAGAGTAAGAAGTTTATTAATCCAGTAGAGGACTTTAGGATCAAGGAGGTAGTTAGGGTATTAAGTTAGAGAAGGCTCAGAGTCGGGTTGCAGAGTAGCCACAGGACCCATTTTCTTTGGAGGCATTAAGGTGGTATTGCGATGATCACTTGAGAAGGTAGATCCAATGCTTTGGTACAGAGATATAGTACTAGTGGAGGTGGGTTTTCATACTATGAGGAGACCAGGGAGTTATATAAATTAAGGTTTGGGGATGTGCAAAGGAGGTCAGGAATGTTGTGGATAAGGATAAGAAAAGTGAAGAATGACCCTTTTGCAAATGGCAAGTTTGTACTAATTGAATTAACAGGAAGTAGGTTCTGTCTGGTGAGGTTGTTAAAAAGGTACTTGAGAGTATGGCTATACATGATGGATAATGTGTCTTTGTTTTTGGCAAAAAGGGTGGAGAAATGTCAGCGTCTGTGGTTTCATTAGTAATAAAACATATGGTGGATCATGCGAAGCTGCAGGTCGGTTTTCATCTCATAGTTTGAGGATAGAAGGTGCAACAGAGCTATGGGAGAGGGAATGTCTTTAACCCAGATAAGAATGATTTGTGGGTGGGATTCTAGAGTGGTTATGTTGTATTTGAGATCAGTTGAAATAGCAAAAAATGGGGCATCAGTGAGAATAGGGTTTTGAGAATTAATTTGCTTACTCAAATTGAAGTTTGTGTAGATGCATATTTATCAAGTATGGGAAGATAATATATAATTCAATTCTCTTGATAATTCCATATAGTGTTTCATAGCTGTTTTCTGTTGTGTTTCAGTATATCAGGTGATCAAGTAACAAATGAAATGCTATAGATGAAGTCACAGACCATTTATTTGTCACGAGATCACAACCCAGACACATGGCATCAGGTTTACGATTTGTAGATCATTTTGTAAATATAATGTAGTGGGTGATAGTAAGTATGATGTATTGAGTGATTGTTGAGTATGATATATTGGTGATGAGTAAGTGGTAATTATGAAGTAATAAAAAGGCTATATAATGAGAAGAATATAGGATGTTGGGTTTCCTCCTTTTGTTTTTGCTGCTAGCTTGACAAGAGTCTAGCTTTATCATAAACGCCCACTCTCTCACTGCCAGAAGTAAGGTGGTATTGTAAGTTAGGGAAACGTGTGTATCGATAGCCCAGGTAAACAACTCAGATATTGAGATTAAGTGATTTGGTAGCTAACTAAACAGGTCAAATATCAAAAAAGAAAGAAAGGATAGAGATTGGAAAAAGAAGGATAGATATTAGAAATTAGCTATAGACCATATGAGCAGTAGAGCAAAATCCCATATAGTGTTTTTGTAGCTATCTTCTGTTATGTTTTAGTATATCAGATAATCAAGTGACAAATAGTAATAATATGGTACTAGATGTTATTGTTAGATCATTCTGGTATAGTTCGTTTGTTCTAGTATTAGTACTAAGTACTAGATGCAAACCTTTGCTCGATGTATATACTGGATATGGTAAATCTGGTTTGTAAATTTCTATTTTATCTGTTTTTTTTATATTTTAAATAAGATTTGTTTGTCAAATTTTTTGATTTTTTGATTTTTTGTGTTGTGTTTTTTGCCAGGTATATGATTTGATAATCATTGATTATCAAAGACCAAAAAAAAAGTTTATGATAAAAGGATTTGATTTTGTTTTTTTTTTTAGAAAAAAATCATGTTCAGTACTTCTGAGTATAATACATGGCTAGTGAAGTATATTTATAACTGATATTAAACTTATTAACACAACATGGTTGGTGTTATTCTTATGATATGTTATTGCATATTTTATTATTTAATATAAATACTATTGCTATCAAACTGATTATACTTTAATTTATTAATAACAAATATTCAATAAATACTTAGAACCCAACCTTTTTATTAACTGTCATAGGTATAAGTTCATCTGATTACTAATAAATTCTATTTAATTTTACATTATTTATACAGCTTAGAAGACTTTTTTTAAAAAAAAACCAAAAACCAACTATAATAAAGTAAAAAAAAATCTATATATAGTCGTCCCCCTCTATAGTCACACCTTCAGTATACAAAAAAACATGATTATATAGAGGTGTAACTAATATAGAGGTTATCTCTATATAGTCACAATTATATATATATATATAAGGTGACTATATAGAGGTTTCAGCAAAAATATAATAAATTAACACATTAACAAAATACTGTATAGTAAAGCAAAAATTAATACAGTATAAAAAATATTAATCTTAACAAATTTGTTTATTATTTTATTCGCATTATTTTATAAAGTATAAAAACATGTACAGTACTGTATTATATTACAGGCACCAACTTATTAGTTAATAAGATCTGAATATTGAATTCATTAGATTTAATTGGATATCCAATTTAGTGTATCCAAATTAGGATGCCAAAATACAAGAAATCTTTGAAATAGGGGTTGTATAAAACTAGGTGCATTTACATGATAGAAAGCCAACCAAATCATAACATTTGATCTTTACTGATCAGCTATAATGAGACAAAAAAAAAAAAGACTGAAAATACAAAAAAACAGTATTTAAACCTGTTTAGGAGCATGCAGAAAAGGCAATTATATTTATAAGGCAAGCTCTAACCCTAACCCTAACTAACCCTTATCTAAATAATCAAAAACATATAAATGCATATAGTTTAGCCATCCCTTGAAATAGTATAAGTCTGGCACTTTAATTCAAATATTGGATATTCATTAAATATCTGATCGATTATTTAACAGATCAGGCCTCCAAGCGTCATATAATACAGTATATAAAAAGTTACATAATGTTGAAATAAAAACTTCATTTACAATTTTTGTTATTTCAAGCTTATAAAAATAGAGAATCTTTTATAGTTAAAAAGAACCAAGATGATCAAAGAAATATTTATACAATATTATCAGGACATGTTTATATATATGTACTTTTAACAATTTTCAATACTTCATCTGATTTAGTTAGTTCTAATAAAATATTTTCTTCAATCATCCATTCTGCAAGGATTTCACAGGTTTTATTGCTGGTCGATGGTTTGTTGATTTCCTTTCTCAACACTTTTTCATCAGATTTATATAATATTATAGAGTATTCTCAATAATAGTTGGCTATAAGTCGTTGCTGCATATTTCAATTTGAAGTTGTGTCCAAATGATCAATAATAAGATACAGATATTCTATATAATATTTTCTACATAATTATGCCAAATGAATAAATATCTGATGCTGTTGAATAATGACCTCTATCTAAAGCTTCTAGTACTATATATGGTAAAATTCTATAAATTCTATGTTTTCAGCATTTAGTACTATATTTGCTGTTATAGAAAGTCCCAAATCTGCAATATAAGCACTATGTAAATGTTCTTGTAGAATATTACTACTATGCAAATCTCGATAAATAAGTTCTTTAGAATGAATTATTTGAAGATCGGAAGCAATAATTTTTTTGACGCAATGAACCCATTGAAGCATATTCTAGAACAAGGATATAATTACCAGTATTATCTTTTGATATTTCATAGCATTTTAAAACGAAGGATGTTTATAGCTAATATCACAATATGCTTTTAA